CAAAGTAGCAACAATGGTGCATTGGAAGATCTGCAAAAAATATCATTTGCCTGTAAGCAAAAACTGGTGGGATCATAAAATAGAGAAAGTCATAGAAAATGATAAAATTAAACTGCTCTGGGACTTCAGAATTCAAACAGACAAGCACCTGCAACATAACACCCCAGACTTAACAATTGTCGATAAGAAAGACAAAAAAGTCTGGATAGTGGACGTGGCAGTGCCTGGAGACAGCAGAATAGAAGAGAAAGAACTGGAGAAGATAACAAAATACAAAGACCTACAAATAGAAATAGAAAGACTGTGGCAAAAGCAAGCAAGGGTAGTACCAATAGTAATAGGCTCCTTGGGTGCAATCCCAAAACAACTGGAGCACCACTTGAACACCATTGGCATTGACAAATTCGCTATTAGTCAATTGCAAAAGGCGGCCTTATTAGGAACTGCTTCCATCCTGCGACGATATCTGTAATACCATCAAACATCCACATCTGCCTATCCCAGGTCCTGGGTAAGGACTCGATAGGTAGACAAAATGCCAAATCCAGTCTGAACATCTGGCTGACTGTGCGATGATCCATAATAATAATAATTTTAAATTGATAGAGAAATATGTATGTATTTGGATTTTCCATGAAATAGCAACTTATCTTTTGGGCTCAAGCTTAAACAAGGATTGATTTGAAATAACTATTTTATACCATGCAAATAGTTGAATATATAACTTGATATATTGATGATATGTCAGATTAGATATAGTGTGAGCAATACCATAAATAAAGTTTAGGAGAAAAGTAAAATAGTCACAAGATGACAAAGTCATTGATAAAAATGATAAATTATTTCCCACAATGTCCAGGTCTCCTTGACCACTTACAGGCAGGACGTGACTGTGCTGCCAGCTGGAATAGAAGTAATAGCTAATTAACAACTTGTATTTTCAGTTTTAAAATATATTCATGATAGATTCTGATTTGAAAGGACATCTTGATTCTATTGACTTAATAGGATACTTGAACTATAAAGTGAAATGGACATCCTGCCTTGTGGATTTATTGGGTATTTGTTTTAACGGAAAGGCATTAAAATGAGTGGGAGGTATTCTGCTAAGGAGTAACATAATGCCACAGTATTGTTCACTGCAGTCTTTCAATGTATCTTTTAAGATGACCTTCAAGCATGCTATAGTCATTGTTGACTATAGGTTAAGGCAAAGAAAGGATTGCTGTCTCTGTTGACAGAACCTCAGATGATATCAGCTAAAACTAATTGGATTCTTTAACTAGATTCTGTTGATTAGTTTGAATAGTTCTCCTTGATCTTATGGCAGGGGTGTCAAACTGCCAGCCCATGGGCCGGACACATCACCAGGAAACTGCACCCACCCCATTGCCGGCAATGGGGAAAAAGCTCCGTTACGTCGCATGACGTCACATGACGTTGCAAGTTTGACATGTCTGTCTTATGGTATAGTAAGTAGAAGATAAGCTCTGCAGTATTTTTGGAGAGCTAGTGCTTGGAGCCATCTTGACAATAGCTGCTTGATTCCCAAGGACCATCATTAATAACTATGCCATAGGTTTTCCTGCACTAAGAAAAAACCTCTATATTTAAGTGGATATAATACATTTCTACTGCCGTTCCTTCCTTGCCTTTCTTTACTTCATATTATGTCCAGTTGTTTGATCATATATAAGACTGAGTGAGGAAAAGCGGAAAAATCACCTGGGCTTCTGCAGATTGGAAAATGGGTTGTCCACAAGCTGCATAGGCACATATAGCTAAAGTCTCTCAAATTGAGCTTAACTCTTGAAAACTGCCTGTCTCTGTGATGCTTTTGATGGACGTAAGCGGTAGCCAAAAAATTGCCATTAACTAGGATTTTTTGTCTGTTTTAAACTCCCCAATAGGCAGCATAGCCCTTGAATTTTTTAATGGTCTTATTTCCAACTACAGAATAGAAGAATGGAATGGAATGGAATGGAATAGAATAGAATAGAATAGAATAGAATAGAATAGAATAGAATAGAATAGAATAGAATAGGGCTGGAAGGGATCTTGGAGGTCTTCTAGTCCAGCCCCCTGCTCAAGCAGGAGGACCTATACCAGCGGTTCTCAACCTATGGGTCGCGACCCCATTTGGGGTCGATCGACCATTTTACGGGGGTCGCCAAACAATGCGATCCACCATTTCCCCCCCGCAGGGGGTGCCGCCGTGCATGCGCGCCGTGCATGGGGGCGGCACCGCGCATGCGAGCCATGCATGGGGCAGCACTGTGCATGCGCGCCGCGCATGGGGGTGGCGCCGCGCATGCGCGCCACGCCGCACATGCGCAGCACGTTCGTGTGACGGGGGTCGCCATCACACGAACGTTGAGAAACGCTGACCTATACCATCTCAGACAAGTGACTTTCTTCTTAAAAATTTCCAGTGATGGAGCACCCATGATTTCTGGAGGCAAGCTGTTCCAATTGTCCTCACTGTCAGGAATTTCTCCTTAATTCCAGGTTGCTTCTCTCTTTGTTCAGCTTCCAACCATTGTTTCTTGTCTTGCCTTCTGGTGCTTTGATGAATAACATGACCCCCTCTTCTTTGTGGCAGCCCCTCAAGTACTGGAATACTGCTATCATGTTTCCCCCATTTCTTCTTTTCTTTAAACTAGTCAAACCCAAGTCCCGCAGCCGTTCTTCGTATGTTTTAGTCCCCAGGCCTTTGATCATCTTAGTTGCTCTTCTCTGATTTTTTTCCAAACTCTCAACATCTTTTTTGTGATATGGTGACCAAAATTGGCTGCAGTACTGCAGTATCCAGTATAGGTTCAATTCTGCTTAGACCTGCTGATCCCAGTGATCTGTAAGTTGGTAGCTTTTTTAAACAAAGATTCATTTTACTGCTGTTTCCAATACACTGCAGGAGAGCTAGATACAAATTAGCTCCACTATTGAGCATAGGTCTCATTTTAGAAATCACAGAAGCCCAGAGCTGCTCTGAAACAGAAAATGAGTCCTTGTGCAGAAGTGCCTTTAGTTTTATATTTGGAGTGTCTTGTATTATAGCATTATCTGTAATTTTATTTAATAGTTTCTCTTCTGTCAGAATGTACTTTACTGTTTCTATAGAAACATTAACTATTGCAGTAACATTATTATCTTCTAGATGGACGGGGAGATTAATATATATGTACATGGTTTACACACACACGCACACAGACACTTGTTAACTAACTCATATTTATGATGCTTGCAGTGTCCCAGGGTTATGTGATTGCCCTTTTGTGACTTTAAAATGACAGGTCATAAAATGGGGCAAAACTTGCTTAACAAATATCTCACTTAGCAATATAAATTTCAGGCTCAATTGTGGTCTTAAGTCAAGGACTACCTGTATATTTCCTTCTTTCCTTCCCTTCCCTCCTTCCTTCCTTCCTTCCTTCCTTCCTCTTGTATGACTGCCCATCTTAAAACACAGTTCTTGGTGGCTCTCACAATAAAACCCAGAACTATAAAAACCTGGTCTTAGATCAGCGTTCAAGTACAAAGAGAATTGGATTCACAAGACTGAACTTATTAGTCATTGGTTCCATCAACAAATTATATTTCAGAAGACACGTTTATATTAGAAGGTGTAACTTTCCTGTCCTTATTTAGTTGGTGCTTATTATGCCTGATCAAGTTTCAGGGTCTCCAAATAAGCTAGATTACTTCAAGTAGAACTTCATTCATTCTTAGGATGCTTCTCTTTTCTAGTGAGCACATCCGTAAACCTTGGCTTTCTGATACTGAATGTGGCAACATTGCTGATCATGGATGACTTTCTGTTATGTATTCAAAATGGACTGTGATTAATACATACATATTAGAGAACAAATGAAAGTATACGATATCATCAAGAGAGTAAAAGAATTGAAATGGAAATGGGCTGGTCACAAAGCAAGAAGAACCAATGGCAGGTGGACCAAGACAGTCATAGAATGGATCCCACATATAAAAAGCATCAATGAAAGAGACCTAAAATAAGATGGATCGATGACATCAGCAAGTATTGTGGGCCCAACTGGCAAACAACAGCTCACGACCATATTAGTTGGAAACAGATGGAAGTGGCCTTCATTCTGCAGTGGATAGACAATGGCTAAAATGATTGTGTGTATGTGTGTGTATCATTTCTTCTTTTGAGAGCAGACATTGGAATTTCACTTTAATGGGTGCCATTGTACACACAGAAAAGTGACAATAAAAGTTGTCTTATCTATTTTATCTTACATAGGCTGGGTGAGATAGAAGTCCTGATTTAATGGGGTTGATTCTGGTCCAGATGTTACATTAAGACCTGACTTGTGGCTCAGTGAGTTTACTGAAGCTGTTTCCTTCCTCTAAGGAGTCATTTTTCCAATGAAGTCATGACAGATGCTGATAAAAAATCATCAGCATGATTTTGGGGTCTCGTGTCATTCCTTAAATTAATATATTGCTTATTCTGAACATTCATTGATGTTCCATCCAAACAAAACTTGGCAGAAATTCAGGTTGCTTAAAAGTAGCTAGATGCCATGGTATGAAAGTCCCTGTTCAGGGTGCAGCCAAGCAATCTTGTCATCTTTTAAACCATTTCTACCCCTCTGCCTTAGAGTTTAGCTAAATGTGTTGCATTCCCTTTGATATGTTCTTGTTTTCTACACTTATCTTGCTTTTAAATTTGTTTCCCTAAAATTGTTTTGACATTTCTTCTACCCCTACAATTTTTCTTTCTTCAATAACAATAGGATTTAATTATATTCAACTGATACTTAGAGAATGAATGTTATTTTTTTTAAATTTTGCTGTACCTTTCCTACTGAGTTGGTGATCAGAACAGTGAGATAACCTCCCAAAAGAGATTTATTAAATTAGGCAAGATTCTCCATATGGTAACCTTCTTTGAGTAAATATGGCAAGCTGGCTATGTTGCCTAGAATATGCTTTCCTATTCATACTATACATTTTTATCTCCCTATTTTTAGAGAAAATCAGACAAAGATATGCAGAACTATCTGGAGAACTGCACATTATTGAACTTGAAAAAGATAAGAATGGACTTGGACTCAGCCTTGCAGGCAACAAGGATAGGTCCCGCATGAGCATTTTTGTTGTGGGGATTAGTCCAGATGGCCCTGCAGGAAAAGATGGAAGAATGCATATTGGAGATGAACTTTTAGAGGTAATTTTTGGTTATATAAGGCTAATCAAATGGTTTTACTGATCGTGGTGAAAAAAAGATGGTTAAGAGAACTGTCAACAAAATTAACGGTGGAAGTTGCTATATGATAGAGAAATTATAAACGGTCACCTTCTACTTGTTTCTTTTGTTCCAAAATAACAGATCAATTTTTATGTCTCAACCTAGACTTCAGAATAATTCTGATGCTTTCAGGCGAGGATTTTATTATGTGAATATGTTGCCCAGTTTTGTGGTGCTTGAAAATGTTTACTTGGAAGCTTTCCCTAATTTAATTTATATGTATGGAATGTAGCAATCCCATTTGGTGAATATCTTTTATTTGGGATATTTGTTCTATACACATTTTTCCTTCTATTGGTTGAGTATTAAAAGCTGCAGGTGCATTCTGTGCTCAGTTATTTTAGAGTGATCCATGTTAGAACTTATTATTTATTAAATTTACATGCCTTCCATATCACTATCAAGCAACTCTGGGCGGTTTACAGTAACAATATAGATAACTGAAAAGTTAGAAATATTAAAATATTATGCAATAAATCAAAACATTAATATTAACAACAAACTATAAAAAAGGATCCATCCACAAATGATATCTAATCAAAATAATAATAATAATAATAATAATAATAATAATAATAATAATAATAATAAAATAAAAAAATTGGAAGGGACTTTGGAGGTCATCTAGTCCAATCCCCTGCTTAGGCAGGAAACCCTATACCATTTCAAACAAATGAAGCACTGGAAATAATAAAGCAACAAATAACAGCTATAGCCAGGAAAATCAGTAGATATGAAGCTCGAATTGCAAACTATAGGCAGAACCTCCAATTTCAATCCAATCAGAAACGTTTCTATCAATCCATCAATGGAGAAACTGCAAGGAATCAGTCAATACCTGACAAGGAAGAAACAGTGCAGTTCTGGAAGCAAATATGGGATAACCCAAAGAAATACAACAAGGATGCGGCTTGGTTAAAAGAGGTGGATGCAAATAAAACAGAAGTTGAAATAAAAGAACTAGTAATAACAACAAAAATGATAGAAAAAAGAGCAAGGAAAATCAAAAATTGGTCAGCACCAGGTGAAGATGAACTGCATGGGTTTTGGTTGAAACATCTAACTGTTATACACCCACTCATTGCCAAGCAGTTCAACAATATACTACAAGGAGGAGAAATTGAAAAGTGGCTAACAACTGGGAAAACCTACCTAATAATGAAAAATCCAGCAAAAGGGGCAACACCAGGCAACTACAGGCCAATTACCTGCTTACCAACAACTTTCAAATTACTAACTGGTGTGGTAGCTGATGCAGTACAACAGCATCTAGTTGAAAACAATCTCTTTCCACCTGAGCAGAAAGGAAACCGCCCCAATAGCAGAGGAACAAAAGATCAACTCCTAATAGACAAAATGATCTTGGAAAACTGCAAGAGAAGGAAGACCAACCTGAATGTGGCATGGATTGACTACAAAAAGGCATTTGACTCTCTGCCACATGATTGGATAATAAAGTGCCTAGAAATAACAGGAGTCAGTAGAAACATCAGAAAATTTGTGCAAAGATCGATGGCACAGTGGAAGACACAGTTGCAGATCAATGGTGAGAGCTGGGAGAGGTTAATATCAAGAGAGGAATATTTCAAGGAGATTCATTATCACCATTACTATTTGTTATTGCACTGTTTCCTCTGTCAACAATACTGAATAACTCAGGACATGGCTATCAAACATCAAAAACATCTACCAGACTATCCCATCCTCCTTTACATGGATGATCTGAAGCTGTATGGAAAAACATCATCTGAAATAGAATCGCTGCTCAACACTGTCCGTATATATAGCCAAGATATTGTAATGGAGTTTGGCTTGGACAAATGTGCCACACTTACTATCAAACAAGGAAAAATAGTGAAAACTGAAGGAATCAAGATGCCCCACGAAAATAACATTAAGAGTCTGGATGAGGAAGATTACTACAAATACTTGGGTATCCTTCAAGCTGACAACATCAAGCGCACTGAAGTCAAGAAAAAGATTAGAGGTGAATACATCAAGAGAGTGAAGAAGATCTTAAAAGTCCAAACTCAATGGAGGAAATACCATAAAGGCAATCAACACCTGGGCAATCCCAGTCATTAGGTACACAGCTGGAATAGTGGACTGGACTCAAGCAGAACTAAAAGCAATGGATAGGCAGACCAGAAAAATAATGACAATGAATCATGCCCTTCATCCACGCAGTGACATTGATAGACTTTATCTACCAAGGCAAATAGGTGGGCGTGGAATGCTACAAGTACATCAGATGGTTGAAGAAGAAAAAATGGCTTTGGAAGAATATCTGAAGAACAATGAAGATGCACTGAAATTAGTATATCAGGAAGGCTTATTGACTACTGGAGAGACCAAATTGGCCTACAAGAAAGACCAAATGAAGAACAGAATAGAGGCATGGGAAGACAAAGCACTACATAGCCAATACATTAAAAAAATAGTGGGAAAGCAGATATAACAAGACCTGGCAATGGCTAAGAGCAGGAAAATTGAAGAAAGAGACCGAGGGACTAATTCTGGCTGCACAAGACCAAGTCTTAAGGACAAATGCATATAAAGTCAAAATTGAGAAGACAGCAACAGACAGTAAGTGCCGCCTATGCAAAGAAGCTGAAGAAACAATGGACCACCTGGTAAGCTGTTGCAAAAAGATTGCAAGACTAACTACAAGCAGCGGCATGACAAAGTAGCAATAATGGTGCATTGGAAAATCTGCAAAAAATATCATTTGCCTGTAAGCAAAAACTGGTGGGATCATAAAATAGAGAAAGTCATAGAAAATGATAAAATTAAACTGCTCTGGGACTTCAGAATTCAAACAGACAAGCACCTGCAACATAACACCCCAGACTTAACAATTGTCGATAAGAAAGACAAGAAAGTCTGGATAGTGGACGTGGCAGTGCCTGGAGACAGCAGAATAGACGAGAAAGAACTGGAGAAGATAACAAAATACAAAGACCTACAAATAGAAATAGAAAGACTGTGGCAAAAGCAAGCAAGGGTAGTACCAATAGTAATAGGCTCCTTGGGTGCAATCCCAAAACAACTGGAGCACCATTTGAACACCATTGGCATTGACAAATTCGCTATTAGTCAATTGCAAAAGGCGGCTTTACTAGGAACTGCTTTCATTGTGCGATGATATCTGTAATACCATCAAACATCCACATCTGCTTATCCCAGGTCCTGGGTAAGGACTCGATAGGTAGACAAAATGCCAAATCCAGTCTGAACATCTGGCTGACTGTGCGATGATCATTAATAATAATAATAATAATAATAAAGTTGGAAGGGACCTTGGAGGTCATCTAGTCCAATCCCCTGCTTCGGCCGGAAACCCTATACCATTTCAAACAAATGACTGTCCAGTCTCTTCTTAAAAACTTCCAATGTTGGAGCATTCACCACTTCTGGAGGCAGGTTGTTCCACTGGTTAATTGTTCTAACTGTCAGGAAGTTTCTCCTTAGTTCTAAGTTGCTTCTCTCTTTGGTTAGTTTCCATCCATTACTTCTCGTCCTGCCTTCAGGCGCTTTGGAGAATAGCTTGACTCCCTCTTCTTTGTGGCAGCCCCTGAGATATTGGAACACTGCCACCTTCAGAATGGGAAGTCAACATCAGCTAGTTGGCAGAGCCAGGTTTTCAGGCCACTTCAGAAGACCAAGAGGATAAGGGTGGATCAGGAGGCACAGGAACCACAGCAGACGGGGCTGTTCTCCTGGACCCTACCAGAGACAATTCCCTGCCTGATTGGACCCCGCAGCATGTCTCTTCTACTGGAATGAGTGGAGCAGGAGAATCCCATTGGAATCAGATGGTTCTTCAGGTAGCCATAAAGGGTTTTAAAGGTAAAAGGCAACAACTGATTGGAACTTGCTTCAGGGTAGTCTTATAAAAACATTAAATACTTAGCTAAATTGGTGTTTGCACAGCTAGCTCATGACGTAGAACATTGCAGGCTCAGGAAGAAAGTGTTGCCCCAAGTTTTATTTTAAATTCAGTGATCAGAGACAGAAGCACCAAGCCCAAGAGACCTGTTGTTTTAATGGGGCTTCAAAAGGCATGTTTACAATAATTGTAGGAAAGTGTACACTAACTAATCTGAAAAGTACATGGACAAAAACATACAAAACTATCTTATATCTTCTCAGATTATTCATGTATTCTCAGTAGGCCTCCATTCTATTACAGCCTTGCTATTTTACTTTCTACCAAACATATTCCTGTATTGATTGTACTGAGCTCTGGCCCTTCCATACATTTCAGCAACCAATTCATTTTTGTACAGATAGGCAAGCTATTATTCTCTCTCATTTTCAATTCCTCATCTGTATGTGGGGACAATGCTAGTCTGGCAAGCATTGATAAGGTAAAAAGGAAGGTTCTTTGAAAGTAGTGACTAAAAAAAAGAAAAAGGATGTTGTTTTTTCTTTAGAGCACTCTTTCTTCCAACAGAAAAAAGAATTCAGACTCAGAAAAACACTCAACATTTACAGAAATTTTCACACTTTTAAATAACTGGCTTTCAGTATAAAACTTCAACTATGTGATCTGTGGAGCAATCATATAGAACTGTCTTATTTGTGTGTATCGTAATCTCTCTGTGGAGCTTCCGCATATGTTGATCATGTCACCTAAAATTAATGAGAGCTGAAGTAGATCTAATGCATCTTGACAACTATCAGACAGCAGCAGAAAGATATTAGAAATTGGATTTCTGATAGGCCTGTGCTGAAGTGCAAAAGATCTGAAGGTTAATAGATAAGACAAGACTGACGTAGCAAGGTATGTCAAGACACATTGCATATATATATTATTAAATTTCCAAAATGAATAATAGGACAATAGGAAATAATAGGAAAGTAGTAGGAAAAAATAATAGGAAAAAAGCAGGAGAAAAAAAATCAAAGGTATAATAGGAAAAGGAAAAAGATATAGAAAAAGATACAGAAAAAGAGTAACTTCCAACTTCCTACAGTGCAGGTACAGATATATAATAACTTTGCCTCTTATTCTAAGTTTAAATAAAAAATTAAAGGCATAACATGTAGAATGTGCATAACAAACGAAAGCAATAACATTACAGAATATTTCTATAATTGAAACAGATCTAGTCATCAAATCTACAAATCAGAGTTTCTATTCTTTGTGAGCAAGAAATCCAAAAGCGGTTTTCAAATGAAAACAAAACTAGCAATTTTCTGCTGTTTGTCAAAGTGGCCAATTTTGCCATATTACTCGGCTCCGTTCATTTCACAACCCATTCTTCCATTATAGGATTTTGCGTAACTTTCCACCTTTGTACCTATAAATGTCTTGCTGCTGTTATCATCTGCACAGTAAGAACCAAGTCCCCTTGTTCCCTTTCCATCGGTGTGTCTAAAAAAAAAAACCTCTAGCTTTAATTGTGCATCAATTTTTAGTATCTTCTTCTGCTGACTGCCGACTGCCAGCAGTTTGGCAGTTCGATCCTGACTGGCTCAAGGTTGACTCAGCCTTCCAACTTTCAAAGTCATAAAATGAGGACCCAGATTGTTGGGGACAATATGCTGACTCTGTAAACCACTTAGAAAGGGCTGTAAAGCATTGTGAAGAGTTATATAGGTCTAAGTGCTATTGCTATTTCCAACACTTATATAGCATTCGCTTATACTCTTTGACAATTTATCAGGTGTTAAATACCAATGATACATCATTTTATAAAGATGTTCATTCACATCATAGCTCAATATAAACTCCAGTCCTTTACTCCACATGATTTTCCCTAGATCTAGCATAATATTTTATCCAAAGCTTTTTGTCCATTTAATCATACAATCTTTATTGTCCTCCTGATTAATTTTCAATAGTATTTTATATATATTAACAATAAGATATTCATCATTAATATAGGTAGTTCTTGACTCATGGTCACAACTGAGCCCAAAATTTCCGTTGCTAAGTGAGACAGTTGTTAAGTTACTTTTGTCTTATTTTGCAACTTTTCTTGCCACAGCTGTTAAGTGAATCACTGCAGCTGTTAAGTTAGTAACTTGGTTGTTAAGTGAATCTGGCTTTCCCATTGAATTTGCTTGTCACAAAGTCACAAAAAGTGATCGCATGACTCTGGAACACTGCAACCATCATAAATATGAGTTAGTTGCCAAGCATCTGAATTTTGATCATGTGACTACAGCGATGCTGCAATGGTCATAAGTGTGAAAACAGTCATAAATCCCTTTTTCCAGTGCCGTTGTAACTTCAAATGGTCACTAAATAAACTGTTGTAAGTCAAAAACAATCTGTACCTAGCTCCCTTTCAAAATCTTCTTCGTCTAAAAAAGCAAATTTCTTTTTGTTTTATTTAAAATGGTTTGACTCCATCAATTCTATTTAATCTTCTAATTACATATTTTTTGCTGATTGTTAATTTTAAAACCTACTAGCATAGCAAATTCCCTTAATTTTCCCATTAATATTTCTTCTCCTTCTAGAAGCTTTTCCAAAACTAACACTAACAAATGCCCTTAACTTATGCCTATCTTGGGAAAGCTTGATTTTGCAACTCAGTTGCTTTTTAATAAATGTTTAAATTTTTTTGGCAGAACTAAAACAATATTAAAATGACCTCATTTGTGCTGCACGTAAGCAGGATACACAACATATTCTGTAGGAATGTGATTTTAATTTACATTGATCTCGACAAAATGGGTGGCACACAAATTTAATAAATAAATAAATTTGCAAGAGGCAGGATAAAGTGTTGTAGGACCACCAACATATCTAACCCACTTTCCTCACTGAAATTCCTCAACATATAAACTGCTGCTTGTATTTCTGCATTAGCAAAATTTTAGCTTGTGAGTTACAGAATAACCAGCCATACTAATTCATTGCAAACTATTATTATTTCATAGGAAAAGTATTAAATAAGAGAATAACAATAATGCAATAATTATCTTATTTAATGCTTCTCCCCAAAATTATTTCTCCATACTCTTCTGTTTTTGAATACTGTAATTAAGTAATTAAATCAGCCTGTTTTAAAAACCAGTTAATTATATGTAGTTCATTACAAAGCATTTCTAATATTAATTTTAGAGGGCAAAATATTAATTCTGGCTTAAGTTTCCTTCAGGGAATGAAAGTAACATTAATGAAATGTAAACATTCTTGAACAACATAAGACCAAAAATAATCAGAAATCAAGAGTTAACTTTAAGTGCCCAGTTTAAGCTCAGTGGTTTTAGAAAAGGAAAACAAAGTTTAGTAGAAATAATTTTTCAGATTAATGTACCTCCCTTCAGGAAACACAGCCATTATATCCTCTTTCTTAAATTTAGTTTTCATTATCTTACATGCCACAGCCATTATATCCTCTTTCTTAAATATTAGTTTTCATTATCTTACGTGCCACATCCCCCTTCAGCAAAATATTTATGATGCCATCTGCTCTAAAATTGTTGCTTACAATTGGAACTGTCTCGGTTAAATAATGCTTTTAATCTTTGTTCATAATTTGGCCACTCTGTTCATTCATTTATCTTATTTCCTGTTGAACTTTGCTATTTCTTTTTCCTATTTACCTGCATTTCACTTATGATAATGCCTCTAAATCAGTAGATTTTAGTATTAAAGTAAACAGTTCATTCTTCCATGAAGCCTGCAATAAATGTCAAAGTGCTTGAGCTTTTATTTTTTTTAGAAGAAACCACAACATGCTCTCTGTGTTCATGTTTTAGAGACACATATTCACAGTTTATAAAATTAGTAATAAAGTAGCTTGGCATCCTGCTAATAGAGATCAAACTTTCTGACTTTTCATTGGAAGCATTATCTGATTAAATCTACATCTGAGATCCTTTATTTGCTTACATCTAATGGACAGAATCTTGCCAAACTAAAGCTATAAATTTCTAACATACTACATATATCATGAGAGCTTCTAAGACAGGGATCTCCAACCCCTGGTCCGTGGACTGGTACCGGGCCACTGCATGCCAGCAACCAGTCTGCACAAACAAGCAAAGCTCCATCCGCGGGATGCAGACAGTTCACAAACCATGCCTCCCTCCAGTCTGCAGAAAAATCTCACTCCACATAACCAGTCCCTGGTACTCAAAAGGTTGGGGACCTCTGTTCTAGGGTGTGGCTACCCTGAAACTCTTCCTCCATCCTCTGACCAGCTCCAGACTACTCAGTTTCTTAAGCTGGATGTCTTTCTGGAAAGCTCTGGGTTGTCACAAGTCTCCCCATCTGCTCCTCCAGGTGCATATCCCATCACAAACAAGACTTTTAAGTTTTTAATTTTGATTCTGAAAGCAGAACCACCTTTACAAAAAATGTATGCAATGTATCCAGCAATCAGTGTTATGAAATTCCCCACTAACTTTCATCAATAATTTATTTTTAAATTACATTTTTCCAGTGCTTCTTGCTGCAAAAAACAACAGTACCATTCAATTTTCTAGCACTTTCTGACTTCTTTGCATAAAAAATTATATTTTCCAACTTCTAGAGAATTTTTTTAATTTTGCTATAATAAAAAATATTTAATTTTTTAAAAAGTTTCCATTCCTAGATTTGCTATTTCCTATGTATAAAGCCATCTTTGTAGCAACTAACTTCCCAACACATTTATTATATTGACACTATCATAAGATGCATAATATGCACATACACACACATACACACTTTCCATGCGAATAGGGCCATTAAATCAATCATTTTGTGCATGCTCTCTCTCTTTCTTTCCCTCTCTCAGAAATTTAATTTTACAAAAAATAAATATAGATTTTTTTAAACTGCTAGCATTACCCGTGTGTGTTTGCGAAGACACACATAAAAATTAAATCTTGCTTTGCATGGAATTTTGCCATGATTTCAAATTTCCAAGCAAATGCCTTGAAAAAGATTAGCCTTAACTATTTTTTGCCTTTCAAGTATTTGTATGCATTGTCTTAATAAAACTGCTGGTGTGCTTAAATCTCTTCGGTAATACCGATCTGTGACTTTAAAAGGAAAATGGTAAAGTAAGGTAAAGCTCCAATATGGCTTGACTTGATAATAGATTTAAATCTCCTTTATTCTGCAGCATTTCCAATACATTCAGTCATATTGTTTGAAGTGCCATATGCCCCAAATTATGTTGAAGCAATCAATCTTACTCCCCAAATTATAGCAATGACATAATTATTTCCTGTTGATTATCAGCATTATTCACATGATTGGCTAATGTAATGCTTTAAAAACAACAACAACCAGAAACGTCCTGCTTTTCAAGGAAGAAATTACAGTATCCTTATCCACTTTGCCCTTTTGCTTTTCTTTATTTTTGCCTGTAACTCAAAATAAGATTTAGAGAAAGGGAGGGGGGGTTATGCAATGTTGTAATAAAATTAGAAGTAATAGTGGACCTTTTGTTTCTTTTTAATTGGTAAATATTCTTTACAAAACAGATAAATAACCAGATCTTATATGGGAGAAGTCACCAGAATGCGTCTGCAATAATTAAGACGGCACCATCAAAGGTCAAACTGGTATTTATACGGTAAGAATGATAATCATTAACAATTGGGCTGATGAGGTCAAGAAATAATAGCCTGAAGTGAGAAATAAAAGATTCAGTATTGTCATAAAACTGAAAGCTGCTAACATGTTTAGTCAAGGGCAAAATGTTTAAATGTTTTGTAACTATTTTGTACCAAAAGTGAAGGCTGTCACATTAGCTATGCAGAGAAAAAAGTCAGAAATTCATTTGAGGCAGTAACTTCATTAGGCTAATTGAGGATTGCACAGTCAAGCTTTTGAATTTGAAGAATTCTTCATCATGCAGCTGTATTTTAGAAAAGAAGAAAAAGTGAAGGAAGAATAATTGTGATTAATAATGTGTTCAGGCCAATTTTAATAAAGGAATATAACGTGTCAATAGGCTATGGATATTTTGGCTAGGTCCTATCAGGTCAGAGGAGAGGATTCTCAAAAAAAGCTTCTGGGATGGAGAAATAAATAAACAGCTGGATTTTCTCCCTCTATTTTTGAAACTATTAAGAAAGTGTTAACTTGTTTGTAGGTGTGTGCATGCACACCAGTTTCTAGATAATTTAAGGTGATGCTGTTGATTTAAGAAACCATTCAAGGCTTAGCTGCTGGATATCTGCAGCAGCACCTTCTCCAGAACCTTCACCTTCACCAGTATTGTCTTGCCCCGTTAGATCTTGTAGGGAGCAGGTGCTGGCGGTCCCACACTTCTATGAAGTGAAGGATCCCATGGTGAGAATAACAGAATAACAGAGTTGGAAGTTCTTCTAGTCCTACCCCTGCTCAAGCAGGAGACCCTATACCATTTTTGACAAATGGTTGTCCAATCCCTCCTTAAAAGCCTCCAGTGTTGGAGGTTTGGTGGCAGCACATTCTGGAGTAACCTCCTCTTGGAGATTAGACTAGCCACATAGCAGTATCTGGTGGACTGGTACTAAAACCCAATTTATTTTGAGGGAATTTTCTTGATTTAATACAATTGTGTATTTTATAATTTCATTTACTCATTTACTTCTATTTTTACATTACATTATTCTATCATATGCGTTTTAATTGTTACATGTTGTAACAACTCTGAGTGGGTTGCAGTTGAAAAAAAAAATACACAAAAAAAACCAGGGAAAAGTACATTTACTTATTTATTTATTTTGTATTGTGTCTGTGGCTTTTAGCCAAAATTAGATACAGATTAGAACAGATCAAGATAGTTTTTGCCATTCTTCCCTCACCTGGTACCTTCAGATTTGTTGGGCCTACCAACCAATTGCTGAAGGCTAGTCTACACATGTTTTGTTTCTTATAAAGGAGAATATTTGTAGCTAAGGTTTGAAATGAGGGATTCTTGGTGCTTTCTGAGCTTGCTTATTTTCTTGCAGACGGTTCATTAGCCAAACTAGGTAGCATCATCAGTGCTAGTTTTGTTTCTTGTTTGAAAGAAAAAAAAATGGAAGAGGGCTGTTTTTTAGTCTCTTTCCAATACTCAGATTTTAATACTGATCAAAGAATAATACTGAGTAAATACTGTTGCTGAATTAATCTTTACACCATATATTTGTTTTGAAGTATATCTAGTTAAATCTTAAACTCTTCTATGGACAGATCATGACTATGAAGGAAAAGCAGTGCTACTAAAATAAAACCCCTCTACTTTTTATTCCAAGACTTCCATGGGTGATTAATGATCTTGCTTCCAGCCCGCTTTTCTTTTTACACAATTATTGAAAATTAAATGTCATGTACAAAAGTTCACTCCCCGCTGCTTAATTGGGAAATGGGTTGGGAGAAAGCTGACATTGGGTGGATATATATATATAAATAAGGAAGCGATCACCACATTGGGTGGAGATATATATATATATATATATATATATATATATATATATATATATGTAGGTCTTTGGTTGTTCGGGTTTTCTCCCACGTAAAATTGGAAGTGTCTTGGCGACGTTTCAACAAAGTCCCATTCGTCATCTTCAGGCTGGTGTTTTCCGCTTCGTGCTTGAGCAGGAAACCTTGCTGCTCAAAGCACGAAGCTGAAAACACAGCCTGAAGATGACGAATGGGACTTCGTCGAAACGTCGCCAAGACACTTCCAATTTTACGCGGGAGAGAAAACCCGAACAACCAAAGACCTACATATATATATATATGTGTGTGTGTGGTGTGTGTGTGTGTGTGTGGTGTGTGTGTGTGTGTGTGTATGTATGTATGTATGTATGTGTGTATATATATATATATATATATATATATATATATATATATATATATATATATATATATATATATATATCAGTAAAAAAGGAAGCGATCACCAGGAAATAAAGCACCAAGGTTTTAATAAATAAAATCAAGCTTTCGATGGCTAACATCTGCCATCATCGTCAGGATACAAGCCAGCTAGTGAGGAAACCTGCTTACTAGCTGGCTTTATCCTGACGATGATGGCAGATGTTAGCCATAGAAAGCTTGATTTTATTTATTAAAACCTTGGTGTTTTATTTCCTGGTGATCGCTTCCTTTTTTACTGAAATGTATGTACCCAAGAATCGCTATTCTTCAATTTTTAATGTAATTTTTAATACACACACACATACACACACACACACAGAATTGGATGCATTCATTGTGACTGGTTGTGATGCAAAAAATTAAACAACCAAAAGAAATTTCATCCCTTTGTATCTCTAAATATGCTTTTCTTATCTATTTAAATTATAATATAACTGCAAAACAAGAATTTATCTATTAGGGTTACACTGCAAATTGATCTAACCTTTCTGTAAAATTTACAATATGTGAGAATTATTCAATCTCCTTGTCACCACATGGATAAATACACTTGGCCACATATATGCCTTGAAGAAATGCAGAGGACAATCTAGGCAGCATTTACTCAAAAAAGAAAAGTTCACAGGCCAAAAGGAGTCCCAGCTAGGTTGTCAAGATGGAAACCTAATTACTATACCAGTGGTGGCGAACCTATGGCACGGGTGCCAGAGGCGGCACTCAGAGCCCTCTCTGTGGGCACGCGCACCGTTGCCCCAGTCCCAGGCCTTCAGCTGGGTTTTATAAAACCTTTTCGCTTTAGGCCTCCGCTGCCGTGTGCAAAAAAAAAAAAGGTTCAATCAATCCCACCCAGTCTGCTGTTACCACTGCAGCCAATGGGCCATGCCCCCCCCCAATGGGCCACACCCAGCCAATAGACCACACCCACCCAGCACCCGACGATGCATAAGTGGGTTTTGGGTTGCAGTTTGGGCATTCGGTCTCTAAAAGGTTCGCCATCACTGCACTATACTCTATTCATGAGAATTCCATCTCATTAGTAATGTTGTTTGGCAAATTTAGGAATTGGAAGGAGATAGTGAAAACTAAGGGCAATAACACAGAGCATGTTCATTTGTTAGCAATGAGATTTGATATTCTCTTTGCAATAAAGAGATCTGGGCATACTCAAAATTACCTTAGGAACTTGATGTCTGTCTAAACAAAATTTTTGAATTAAAGATGAGATCAAAGGACTCCTAGGTCCTTTCCTTTTTATTTTAACATTTTAACTTTAAAGGAAATCAAAGATACTTCATAAATAACTTTTCTTTTCCCTCATTCAATCATTAATTTTATATTGCTTAATATTGCAGGATGGGGAAACAAAAGGCAAATGCTTTATACTTTTATAGAAAAGAGAGCTTACTTTACTGTTTAAAATATATCTGCAATGGAGCAGTTTTGTCTGAAGCAGAGTTAAAATATCAACAAGCACAACCAACTAGATAATGAGAAGCAGCTTCTTTTGACCTAAATTTTTGTTTTCTTTCTATGATGAATTTGGCTTTATGTGATTAAAATCATACACAGTGCAGTTTTAGTGAAGATGGGAAATGGCAGATGCCAAGAGTGCATTAAACATTAGTCACACCAGACATACTCCTTCCGTTATATATTCAAGATGGACAATATTTAATATTTATTTGCTACGTATATGTAGGGATGTGGGTCTATACATATGTTGTTCATAGTATGTTTAGGTGTGTGTCATGTATGTGTTTCACTTTGAAAGCAGGCAACTAAATTTCATTTTTGATGTGTGCCATTGTGCCTACAGTATAAAAATGATAATAAAGGTTATCTTATCTTATCTTATGCAGCTGCTGCTCAAAATGGAAATCCAATACAGAGTTGTTCATCTTGCCATAGATAAATATTGTGGTTTTTGTTCTCAGTGCATATCACTGACTTCCAAGTGAAAAGTATTTTTCTCTGGTTTTTCCAGCACATAGATTTGAACTTTTCTGCATATATAAAAGCTATATGCCTTCCTTCCTTCCTTCCTTCCTTCCTTCCTTCCTTCCTTCCTTCCTTCCTTCCTTCCTTCCTTCCTTCCTTCCTTCCTTCCTTCCTCTTTGAATCAGCAACAAATGCTCTTAGTGTTCTGGGAGTGCCCATGCTGCTCCATTCTGTGTCGGTTAAAGCTTCCAGATATTCTCCAAGGGCATCTCTATGTAGAGTTCATTGTACTAGTCAAATTTGGCATGAGTGATTCTTTGCAGGGCTTGCTGATTCAGGAACAGGCAGACTGACACACAAGACAAAACTATGCAAATTCCCTCCTAGTCATTATTGCCACCTGCTCATTGAGCAGGAGTGATGAATCAAAGAGAACGACTGGGTTGCATCTTGGGTCTGTCTAATATTCCCTTAATTTCCTTCTTAGAACCTCATGTCCAAATTTAATTTATAGCCGTTGAACGGGATTCAGACCGTGCCAATCATATGACCCTGTCTCTACCGAGTAGCCATAGTTTTTCTAGTGACATTCCTTGATCCTTGATTTCATTCATTTACTTTATTCATTATATTTATCTTTTTTATTTATCTCAATCTTTCTTTTCTTAGTCCATTTCCCACTTTTCATCCTCCATTTGCATCAGATGTTCAAAATATTTGAATTTCTAGCTGTCGATCATTTTCTCAATGGAGCAGTTAGCCCACCCACTTTGTTTTTTTCTA